CTGCAGCCTGAAGGCTTCCAAAGGGGTGAGGGAGACCCCGACACCAGCACCTGGCCCTGGGCATGCAGGCAGTTCCCTGACTCCCACCGGCCCCGGGAGCTGCACGGAAGGAGCCTGGATCCTCACCAGTCTTGCAGCAGATCTACCGCTCGTCCCGGGCAACCTTGACGGGGTATTTCTGGAGCCGCCGGATAAGGCCCTTCATCAGGCCAAACTGGATGAGCCTCCTGGGGACAAGGAAAGAAGAGACTAGGACCATGATGCTGAGGCCTCAAACAGCTCAGCTCCTCCCATTTCCTTCTGGTTCCACCATGCCACACCGATGCCTCAGTTTCCCCATCTACAGATGCAGGGGTTGGGTACTCCCTCCTTGCTTCTTCCACACTCGCCCTGACACCCCTAGTGTCACCACCACCCTCGGGGACCAAGCAGGAGGTTGCTGGCTCTGACCTCTCGTCCACCCTCTGGAGCTGCACGGTGTAGCGGGAGATGAGGTCTCGCACCGTCGTGCCAGGGCTCAGCCCACAGTACAGCTGGAAGACGTCCCTGAGGCTGGCTCGCTTGTGCCCTGCGGGGACCAGTCACCAGTCAGCTGCCTTCTCCCTTTTGCCTCCGCCAGCAGCCCAGTGCAGGGTCACCATACCTTGTTTGGTGACGTAGGACAGACACTCTTCCTGGAGACACTTGTCATCCACCAGGTCCTGGACCTTCGGCGTGGTGCAGTAGACGTTGGAGTACTGGAGGGCGAGGGAAAATCAGCTCTGTTCAGCCATGGCTACAAGAGCCAGACCCACCCCGCTCCGAAACCCACTGTCCCCCCGACACAGCCGCCCCAACGGCACAGCCACTGCTTGAATCCCGCTCGTGTCCCCACGCTCCATGGCCTGACCCACCTGGAGTATGGAGACGAGCGTGACGACCCCGTAGTACCTGCAGACGGACAGGGAAACGTGAGACACTCTCTCTGCCAGCACCCACCACACCCCTCCTGTGGGCTGGCCAGGCCCCCTTCCACACACTCACAGCAGGTTTTGCACAGCAATGCGCACCAAGTTCAGCTCCACGTCGGCTTCTGCGGAAATCTTCTGGACGTGCCGAAAGCCATCAATGTAGGGCAGGATCTGAGAGAGGAGGAGGCAAGAGCTAAGAGGGGAGAGCGGAGAGAAGCCCAAGGCATCACCCCGAAGCCCAAGAAACCCCTCTGTGTCCAGGAGCACGCTGGGATGGGCGAGCTCTGTCCCCAGCAGCTTTTAACCCATGTTTTGGGTGAATGGGTCACTCGCAGGCCTGAGAACCAAGACAAGGGAAGCACTGAACTGTGCTCATAACCTGGTGATCTCGGGGGACAGCCTGACTTCCCCCTGACCCTGGGCAGCCTGGACACAGATCCCATTCAAAGCGTGCTGCCCCCAGTCAAGCACACGTACCTGCTGCGTGGTGAGATCCCACTGGGAGTTGAAGAAGTCATCCTTGTCTTGGGTGAAGACAGGGACGTCGTACTCCTGCACAATAGGGGGGTCTGGGCGCTGCTCGATCACCTTCAAGTGGATGGTGTTCGACTCATCTGGCCGGGAAGGGGGAGTGTTTAGGTCCCACAGAAATCTCTGCTCCCTCGGGAGCTCATGACCGTCAGCCCCAGGACACCACAACACCACACAGAGGAAAGTGTTTGCAGCCCATAACCCCATCCATCCTGGCTCTTCGAGCCACCCAGGGCAAGGCTGGCTTGGACTCCCTCCAGCTCCATACCTATGGGCAGAGTGCACTTTCCTTTGGCGTTCAGCTCCTCCAGCAGGATGGTCATGATGGGAACCAGCTTCTGTTTACTCTCCTCATTGGAGATGAAGCCGCTTTCCAGCTAAAGAGAGCAGAAAATCAAGTCAGCTCCTCCCCACAGGACTACCGGCTATAGGAACCACACAGATCCCGTCCTCCCTTAAACTTCAAGTGACGCGTGGGTGAAACCAGCACAATTGCCTCCTTGCTGTAAACCTGGACCCTACTCCAGCAACGCCCAGTGGCCCACAATGTGTGTCAGGACACCGGTGGCTCTGTGGGGCGGATCGTGAGGCAGTCAGCCTCCGCTCGTGTTGGCTTGGGCCTCACCTCGAGGGTGGTGAGGTAGCCAGCCAACTTCTTCACTATGGGCTCCAGTGCGCAGGCCTTGGCTCTGGCATCGCACACGAAGCCTAGGTTGAAGAGCAGAGCGTTTCGGCTGTACTTCTTGTGCTCAATACACACAGGGCAGCCTATCAGCTTCTTCTCCATGGCCGTCCTGCAGGAAGACAAGTATAACCTGCACCGCCGCCCTCAGGGAGGCCTGGGCCCAGCACAAGGCTGGTTCCCCACCAGCTCTGGAGGTGACAGCTGCTCTGCTTTGCAGGAAAAATGATGCCTAAGCCCCAGATGCTCAGAGTGAAAAACACACAGTCTGAAAAAGAGGGGAGAAAAAGAGTCAAACATTGGACAAGAAAACAGTCTCCTTTCAAAACCAGCACAGCTCTCAGGACTCGTGTGACTTTCCCAGATTTGAGGCTGACAGAAAACCACATGCAGCACCAGCCACCCCCGAATCGGGTACCCAGCCCCCTGGTAACTGTGGGCATCGTGACGAACCTGCTGGTCACCAGGACAGAAAGCCCCATGACCCAGAGCCGACAGCCAGCACTGTCACATCCCCGAGCTAGGGCCCTGCCCCGTCCGGGCCGGGACAGCAGACCCCCCCGCGGGGAAAGGACGGCTGGCTTGCCGACACTCACACGGTGATCAGCTTGTTCTGCAGCTCGGGCTTCGTGATGACGTACACCTGGATGGTGTCAAAGAGCTCCCGAGAGATGAAGTCCTCCGGGACCTGCAGTGGCACAGAAGGCCCCACTCCAGCTCCGCCCGGCTGCCAGGCCCC